CTGGAAGGCTCTGGAGAAAGATCCCAGCTTGCCCGCCTGATGGCCCAGGGGCCCCTGCCATGCCCGGAAAGGCCTGTGCCACGGGCGAGCAGGGAGGAGGCTGAGCTTGGGCATGGTGTGGACTCGCCTTGTTTCTTTCAGCGTAATTAGGTGCTTAATTGCACCACTAGGGCCTGTCGATGCCTGTGCCGAGGTGATTATGATTTACAGCCAGGCTGCCCTGTGGGGGTCTCTTCTGCTCCTGGCCTCGTCAGTCTAGTTGAAGGTCTGGGCCACAGGATTTTCTGCCCAATTTGTGAATGATGAAATCCAACAGGCAGCTTTCACCACCCCTGAGAACCTGGAGCAGGAAGACAGACCCCCCCCTCCCATAGGCTATGTCTCTGAGAGGGGCTGGGCTTCCCTAAAACAGGGGTCCCCAACCCCCAGGCCACAGACCATGTACCGGTCTGTGGTCTGTTAAGAACCAGGCCGCACAGCAGGGGGTGAATGGCAGACTAGTGAGCAAAGCTTCATCTGTATTTGCAGCCGCTCCCCAGCGCCAGCATCACCGCCTCAGCTCCACTTCAGACTATCAGGCATTAGATTCTCATAGAAGCACCAGTCCCTGGTGCCAAAAATGTTGGGGACCACTGCCCTAAAGCATGGAAGGTTAGGGGCCTGGGATGAGGTGGGATGGGGTAGAGAGACAGACCTGAGGTTTCCTGGTCATCAGAAGCTCCCCAGACATGTGTTTAAGGCCTGGCTTCTATCACAACTGGGAGGCTTGAACAAAAATCACTTCACCTCCCTGAGCCTCAGTTCCTTGACCCATACAAGGGTATCTAGCAGTGCCTACATTACAGGGTTATCGTGAGGTTTAAATACAATGTAGGAAGCTTTAGCACATCATCTCTGTGATGAAGCACTCCATAAACGGTAGCTACCAGCCCTACTATTACTGTTGTTATTGTTTTTGTATTTGCCTTCTCCAGACGGTGCTTAAAGGCACAGACCGCAGGGCTGGGAGGGAGCAGTATCTGACACGTGTCCGCCCCCTTTGTCTTGTTGGAAACTAGCTCACTGAAGTGCTGGATTATAGGTGTGAGGTCTGTGTCTCCACGCGACCACGAGCCCGTGGGCGCATGGCTGAGGTCCAGCTGGTTCACAGCTATATCCCCAGTGCCCAGCTAACTGTGCGTCAAATGAATGGATGATCTAGCCCAAGAAAACTGAGGCCAGGGTCTGGGTGACCTGTCAGGGCCAGAGCCCATCCTCCAGTACCCCCTGCAGTGCTCCCTGTTCCCCACCTCCTCTCTGGGTGGAAGAGCTTCTGCAGACAACGTGTTTGCTGGCAGAGGGGCGACAGGGTGGGAGGGAGCTGACTGCTGGGGTGGGGGGAACAGGTCCAGGCCCAAGCTTCCTGTCTGGGGGTGGGTGAGGGTGGGCAGAGGGGTGGGCCACGCTTGATGCTCCCTCCCGAGGAGTGGCTGCTCCCAGCGCTTCACATTATTACTCCATTAGCGCCTTGTAGGGTTGACAAATGAAGGATAATTAATATCTGTGAGGGAAACAGATGTTGGAGTAATTCGCTCCCCGCTGCGCATTTGCGACAGCATCCCCTAACTCCCTGAGAGCATGGCAAGGCCACAAGACCTCTCTATGCCCTTGGTCAGAGGTGATGGAATCAGTAGGGCTGACAACTTCCAGCTGGGCCCAGTCCCAGCACTGGGAAGAGAGACACCTGGTCCCCACACCAAGAGGGGCTGCTGGAAGCGTTTCCCGCTGCTTGCTTTTGGGAAGTTCTGCCAGTGTCCCATCTTGTGCCTCCTGCTGTACCATAAACCCATGTTTTCCTGCTTTATGGGGGATGGTGACCAGCCAGAAAAGCTCAGAATAAGGGGAGATGGGCCAGGCTCGCTGCTGCTACCCACTTACCCTCTTCCCTTCGGGAGCCTAAGACTGGCCTCCCCCAACCCCCTGTGGCCCTGCCAGCTCCAGGTGACCCTCTGTGGGCCTGTCACACCATTTGGAGGGGTAGAGTGCATGGAATCAGGCCTGGGTTCAGTTCCTAGCTCTGCCACTCGCTGACTCAGTGCCTGTGGGAAAGTCACTTCTTCCAGAGCCTTGGTTTCACCATCTGTAAAGTGGGTATAATCATGTGAATGTGACCTAAACTTAGAAAGCATGATATCTGGCTAACACTTCATTTGGAGAAAGGAGCTACAGTGATTCCATTCATTCAACAAATTATTATTATTGTTGTTGTTGTTGTTGTCATTATTTATAGGGTTCTAGTCCCTATAATGGTCACTAAGATGAACAAAATAGCTATTCCTGCCCTCAGGGAGTTGATAGCTTAACCAGAAAGAGAAACAAAAACCAAGTCAGCATACAAATCAACTAAATGGTTCTCAAATTGTGACAACTACTTTGAATAAAATAAACAGGGGGTCACGATCAAAGGCTTCTTGGAGGAGGTGATGTCTGAGGATAAATGAGAGTCAAGCAGGTGAATAGAGATGGGGTACAGCACCCAAGCAGCAAGACCAGTGTGTGCAAAGGCCCTGCGGTCAGAAAGAGCTTGGCATTTGGGAGGAGATGAGAAGGGACCAGAGGGGCCAGCACAGATGAGTGAAATGATTTGAAGTCACGTGTATGAGTGCCCAGCACAGAATCTGAAGGAAGTCTGTAGAGCAAATGCACTCCCTCAGTGTCAAGGTCATCAGCAGTGGCTCCCCACTTCAGGAGCTGGGGCTTGGCAAGACCAAGCCAGCTTGTTGTCTCTTCTCCCCTCCAGAGGAGATGGATCAGTAGGGCTCAGGGCTGGAGCTCACTCAGCTTCAGCCCAGGCCTGGGTGACCCTGTGATGCAGCAGGCGGTAAGATCGTTGAGAAGGGGGTCACTACCCAGCAGTTGAAGATGCATCTCTGCTGTTCTTTCTAGGCAGGGCGGGGTCTGCAGGAGGTGGGCCAGGGCAGTAAAAAGGCTCTAAGTAAGAAGGGGCCAAGGAAGAATGGAAGCCCCCTCCTATCGCTACCCACCTCTCATAGGCCCAACTACCCACAGGCCCAATTCTCCCCTCCTTTTTTAAAAAACTTTTTATTTTGAATCGTAGACTCATAGAAAGTTATAAAAATAGATCATAGAGTCCACTGTACCCTTCATCCTCCTTTCTCAGTGATATAGTTTATGTAACTGTCCAACTGCCTTTTCCCTTTAAATTGAAAAAAAACAAAAAGAAACTCACATTAGCTTTATGTTCACGGCAGATTTACCCAAATGTCCATCAACGGACAGCTAGATAAACATTGTGGTATATTCAGACAATGGAATACTATACAGCAATGAAAAAGAATGAACTGAGATGTGCAACAACATGAAGCATCTTGATATTATGTTGTGCAAAAGAAGCTGTGCACAAAAGAGTTCAAGAACAGGCTGAACTTAATCTGTAGTGACAGAAGGCGGAGTGGTGGTTAACCCCATCGGGTGAACCCTGACAAGCTAGGGCCACAAGGGCTCACTCTAGAAGGGTTATAAAGGTCTCGGCCTTGCTCTGGTTACAAAGACAACTTTTAGACACTCGCTCCCCCCAAATGTGGTTAACAGTTATTAAAATCCTGATACGTTTGTAATCAGCCTTTATTTTTTTTTAAAGAAATAAAATATTTCGGACTAAGCTAAGAACTCACTTTGCAGTCCGTTGTAGATCCACGGCCCTCCCCTAGGCTCCATTCCCAAGACAACCACCGCTATGCGGCCCCTGTGTTCCCTCCCGTCAGTTTTAAACCTCGATACACACAAGTGCCCCAAACCAGTATAGAGTGTTTTTATGTGTTTATTTACAGAAATGACATCACACTGCAAGGGCTCTGCAATGAATTTTCATTTCCTGCATGTCACTGAGCTGTAACGTGCCTGGCTCTTAGCTCATCTTTTTAACTGCTATGCAGTATTCCATTGAACGGACTGACTTCTGCCTATTTATTGTTCTATTGATGGACATTTAAGTTGCTTCTACTTTTTTGCTGTTTAAGTCCGTGTGCCCTCCTGGGGGTGTCTATGGGGTCCCACCCTAGGCATGGGCTCCCTGGATGACAGTGTCTTCCCCCCCTGCTGCCCTGTGGCCAGGTCACAGTCTCTCTGTCGCCCCCAGGTGGTCAAGGTGGTGGGCAGTAACATCTCCCACAAGCTGCGCCTGTCCCGGGTGAAGCCTACAGATGAAGGCACCTACGAGTGCCGCGTCATCGACTTCAGCGACGGCAAGGCCCGGCACCACAAGGTCAAGGCCTACCTGCGGGTGCAGCCCGGCGAGAACTCGGTTCTGCACCTGCCTGAAGCCCCGCCTGCCGCACCCGCCCCACCGCCCCCCAAGCCTGGCAAGGAGCTGCGGAAGCGCTCCGTGGACGAGGAGGCCTGCAGCCTCTAGACTGATGCCCATCCCACCTCTTGCCCGCCCCGCGCCCCTACGGCTGTACAGAGTGCATGAGGAGCTGCTGGACCGCTGGAGACCGGACTGCCTGAGTCCAGCCGCCTCCCCATCCCCAAGACTGCCTGTGGCCACTACGTCGGCCCTCCACTCACCGCCCCTTTGCTCAGCATGTAAGCCCCACCCAGCCCTTCCTTTTCAGTCCCTTGCGGTGACCTGGCTCAGAGGAGGTGGCCTCAGGCACCAAGGGGCCAACTGCCCCCAACACTTGGGCAGGGCGCCATGCTGGGGCCGGGCTGCCTTCTTTTGTCACCAGCTTCAGTGGAGTCCAGTGTTTCGCTTTGCTTGCTTGTCCCCCAATCCTGTCCCTTGCCGGGGCCTCCCAGCCTTACTCTCCCTCTTTCCCACCATCCCCCTCTTGGACCTGGGGGTGTGGACTGTGATCCCTCCCCAAATGTGGACTTGAATCTTCTGAGCAGAGCTAGGGCCTCTCCCCTGGCGAAGAGATGGGGCAGAAGCCCCCGGGACAGCCTTGCTCTGGGCTGTGGCCCAATTGCAACGTCACTCATAGGGGCCCTGGGAGGAGAGAGAGAGAGATGCAGCACTGCCTCCTGGTGGGTCATTCATGTTCAGCCTCCTTATCCCTAAGAAACAGCTCCCTGTCCCACCCTCCAGGGAGGCGGCCGGGTTGGGGAGTGGAGAGACCAGGAATCTGCCCCTTCCCGTAAGGAGTCAGTAGGAGGGCCTTTCCCCTCTCACCACGCGGTCCCACGCAGAGATTCGCACCAGCAGGACCCTTCGGAGGGTCTTTGAGGTTCCCCCGGGAGCCCACCTCTGCCAGCTCCCAACTTCCCAGCCCCCTTTTGGGGTCCATGCCAAGCCCACCCAAGGGCCTGGGGCTGTTGGGAGCCAAGGGGCCCCAGTACCAGTCCCCTCACAATTACTGATCAGGGGGACACCCACCCCTGGTGATTTGTAAATATTTCTATTGAGCCCAACAGCCTCTCAGAACTGGCTCAAACCTCTAGCCACCTCTCAGCAATGGAGTGAGGGATGTGGGAGAAGCTGAGAGCTTCTCCCAGGGGTGTGTGGGTAACCCTGTATACATGATCCAATTCGTGACTACCAGCCAACCTGAATAAAGCGGTTTAAAAACATCTCTGGGCAGTGTCTTTCTGGGGCATCCGTGTCTGGAAGCAGTGTGGCAGGGGAGGGGGAGGCGGGAGAGGGCTCGGCCAGCCCACACCATGCCTCACTCAGCATATTCTCACTCCTGCTTTCTGCCCCTCAAGCACAGAGCAAGAGCTGGTGGGGGCACAGGGAGAGGGCAAAATAATAATAATAATAATAAAACCACAGCCTCAGTCCAGCCCAAGGCATTTGAATTATTCTTAGATTTTGAGGTAATCACACATATAGAAGAGTGCCTAAAACATGCCTACACTGTTTTGTGAATAAATTATAAAGTAAGTAAAGGTGAGCCGCCACTGACCAAACAGCACCCCAGAACAGAACCCCAAGTCCGGCCCGTGTGTCTTTCTGATCATACCCCCTCTCCTCCCTGCTGGAGGGAACCACCATCCTGACTTTGAAGGTCATCATATTCTCAATGTACTTTTTACAGCTTTACTACCTATATGTATGTCATCTTAAGCGATATAGTTCAGTTTTGTCTATCTTTTTAAATTTTGTATATGTGGAATCAACCATCTCTATTCTTTTATGCACCACTGTATTCGTGAGATTCATTCACGTTATCACGTGTGTCTGTAATTTGTCCATTTTATTGCTGTATAATATTCCGGGCTCTGGACCTGTTGCATGAATATCTTACAACTTATCAACTTATTTATTCATTCTACTGTTGACAAGAATTTGTGTTCTCATCTGAGTACTATTATCAGCCACACTGCCATGAGCATTCTAGTCTGTGTCTCTTGGTGCACATGGCACAAGATTCTCGGGTGGATTTGCCAGCTTGGAGGGTTAGGCACTGCACTCTAGGCTTCTCATTTTCTCCCGGGAGATACCACCATTCCTTTATTCCAGTTGAGGAAACAGGCTCAGAGAGGCTAAGTAGCTCATCCAACATCACGCAGTTGAACTCTGCTGAGCCTAGACCCCTCTCCTAACTTCTCCCATCATGCCCTGGGCTCTGGACTCCCCTTGGCTCACTCCAATGGAGGGTCCCACCCACCACGGTCCTGCCGAGAATCTGACTGAGGGTGTGTCAGTTCAGAGTTCTCAGGTCAAGCCCTTGTAACCAGCAACCAGAGCAACCCACTGGTCTCTCTCCTCCGTGTGCCTGCAGAAACCACAGGCACCACCCACACTGTCTCTGAGCTCCCCTGCCAACCAGACTGAGCGAGCCCAGCCTCCCTTAAGGGTGGGGACTGGGAATTGATGAAATAATGCCTGATGCTGAAAGAGCACAGTGTGTCCCAGGCCCTGTGCTGATCGTCATAGCAGCCCTGACAAAAAGGCATGTATCCTCAGTTTTCAGATGAAGAAACAGGTTCAGAGAAGGATGGGTAGACGAATGGATGAATGGAGGGATGAGAACATAAATAAACCAGGCTATGATGCAAGTCGGGCTCTGGACCTGTTGCCAAATTCAAGCATCCCAGGGCTGGATGGTCTATGACCTGTGGTTCTCTCACTCCAGCAGCCAGACTTTATTCAAAATATATGGTCCCCAGCATTGCCAAGACAATATTATAGAACTCCTAGAGGACATCTTTGCCTTGCCTTTAACTTTAATGTGAATGCTTCCTGTGTTTCCAATGCTGGCTTTTGAATATATTTCCGGGGTCTCCTATGAATGTTTTAGGATACTCAAGCCTTATTGATGCGGCACTCAAACACTTCAGTGTGAATGCCCACCTCAAGTGGGCGCCATCCAAGCCAAGTTCCAGGACTATGCCCACCCCACTCCTTAAAAACAAAGCGTTCTTGGAATGATACTAAGTGACTTACTCTGGTCACCTTCGAGTACAGCTCTGGAAGCCAACAGATTTGGCATTTAAAGCATGGACTTTGGGATCTGATAGACATGGGTTCAAATTTCAGCTCTGCCACTTATGAGGTACGTGGTATTAGGTCCACCTCCCCTCCCTGAACCTCAAAAGTTCCTTGTAGAATTTTAAAAGGGCACTGTGAGCTTAGCATCTGGCATACTGAGGCTGATCTCATTCACCAGCATGGGGGAGGGCAGGGCCCAGGAATCCTCATTGCTGATAAATTTCTCTGCACAAGGAAGTGTGAGAGCTGTTGGGGTGTCACATGGGTACAGCGATTTGTCTGAAAAGACACCTGCTGAGTTGAAAGCAGCGGTCACTTCTAAGGAGTGAGATAGAAGGAATACCCCCAGTAGGCTGAACATTTGTAAGGGGAAAAGTATCCTATCCATCACTTGATACACATATAAATATTTAAAGAAAACCAACCAGGAAACAAAAGTAAATAAAATGGGGGAAATGAAAGAAAGCCAGCATTGGCGGGAACGCTGGTATGTGCACCGTGTGGCGTCTGAGTCCCTTGACGAGTCTCTTCCTCCTGAAGGATCCTCGCTGACATACGTGGAGCAGACCCTGGAGCCACGCCCGCTCCACTCTTCCTCCACCCTCTCCTCCCACTTTCTTCCCCTGCTCACTTCCTTGTTGCTTGATTTAGTCCTGGTTTAGTTTAGGTGTCTACACTCCTTTAAAAAGATGACTCGTCTCAGAAAAGACTTGTGTCCACTCCTAATAACCCCAGTGTGTGAATTTTGATTGATCTAAGCCAGGGGCTTTTTACGTGGAGTCCACAGATCACCCTGACCAAGGGTTTGTGGATGAAATGCACGGGATTCGCAAACTTGCATGAGGAAAGAGACTACTCTGTTCTCACTAACCTCCAACTGAAATTTAGCATTTCCTTCCATTGTGAATGTAAGCAGCAACCCACAGGAGTATTAGCAGTAACTTGTAATTTGTCACCAATAGAAAGCACAAATATTTTCCCCTCACAAAATAGTTATAGGTATCTCAGATCATTATTTACACTCATCACTACTTCAAAATTATGGTCGTTATTAGATGGGCTGCTAGATTTTGTTATTTAATGCACTAATAAAGAAGCAAGTTTATTCCCACATCACACTTTAAAAAATATATTTTGAAAACTATATTTCAATATAATTGGTTTGTTTTGGAATCCTATCATTTTATTTTATGCAGTCTTATGAGAAGGGTCCATAGGTTTTGCCAGACTGCCAAAGGGGTCCATGGCGCAGAAGAGGTGGATGAACCCTGGTCTAAGCCAGTGCTAGCAACTCCATTATCCTAACAGGACCTCTAGTCTAGGAAGTATCATGTGACCTATGATGTCAAATTCACAAATGAGATGCTAGGGGACATCTGCTAGAGGGAGAGTGGAATCCTTCCTGAGAAAGGTTTCTTAAAAGGAGATACAAGGAAGACTGACTTTGTTTCTCTGCTTCTTAGTGTCTGAGCCTGAGACCTGGGAATGTCTTCCACCTCCGGGCAACCATAAGGAGAGCAGTTGATCCAACTGAGATGCAGAAGTGACTGATGGGAAAAGCCTGGGTCTTTGAGGATGTGATTGACTTGGTGAATTAGCCAGATATGGAACCTCTCTACGTCTGGACTCCTATTATCAATCAATAGACCCATTACGATTTAAACTAGTTGGGTCAGTTGTCTTTTATTCTTAGCAAAGAGAATCTTCTCTAATCCATTATGCTAGTTTCGTTCCTCCATGTTTTCCATGCTTGGTCTTAATTGTCATTGGGGTGACATGGAGAAAAAAGCCAGCTCCTTCTTCCATGTTTATAACTCTAGGTCAGTAGTTCTCAAATTTAGGCGTACATCAGAATTATGCTAACGTTTGTTAACGTTAACTTAGTAAAACCCACTTTTCTAGATCCCATCCCCACAGTTTTAGATTCAGTAGGGCTGGACTGAGTCCCAAAAGTCTGCATTTCTAACAAATTGCCAGAT